ATTTTCAGGTAGACCAATAATTTTTAAAATGTCTCTCCTGGATCGATTTTCCAGATCAGCTGTTTTACCAATGAGGTATTTTACATTTTCATCTATTTTTTCATTCTTTTGTTTCTGTTTGACTGCTTCCTGCTCTCTGATAGAATCATTAGCTTCCATTTGCCCAATTCTAATTTTTAACAAATTGTTTTCTTCTATTAGATTTTGTACCTCCTTCTCCAATTGGCCTATTGTACTCTTTAGAGATTTGTTTCCTTCAGTGTACATTTTTTCCAGTTGGCCAATTGTATTTTTTAAGGACTTGTTTTCTACAGTTAATTTTTGCCCTTCCTTTTCCAAGCTATTGACTCTCTCTTTCATACCTCTCATTTCTTTTCCCATTTTTTCTTCTACCTCTCTCATCTGACTTTTAAAATCCTTCTTGAGCTCTTCTAAGAAGGCTTTTTGGGCTTCAGACCAGTTCATATTCCCTTCTGAGGTTCCAGATGTGGGTTTGTTGACAATGTTGTCCTCTTTAGAATTTCTGCCTTGATCTTCACTGTTCCCATAATAAAAATATATTGTACGTTTCTTTTTGCTCATGGTGTTTGCTTATTTCCTGGCCTTTAAAGAGATTAAGCTCTCCTGCTGGGGAGCAAAGGGCAGTGACTCAAGCTTCTTGTGTTGGGAGCCTAGGGCCTGGTCACTGGCTTTCTGTGCTGGGGCCTCCGATCTTGGCAGTTGGAGGCCGTACGGTTCTGACAGCTTATCTGGTATTGGCTGGAATCAGCAACACTGGAACTGTAAGGGTAGGACTGGGTAGTGTGGCCCGTGGAGATTTCCTGCTCACCCTGGCCTTTCCTTCCTTTTGCTTTCTTCAGCTCCTTTCAGATGGATGTTGCAGGATGTTCATCCGCCTGGAACCCCTTGGAGCACCGCTTCCCTTAGTTTTGCTGAGGTACTGGGAGACTGGGCTGCTGTAGAATGTCCAGGCACCTGGTAGTTTTCCAAGCTGGTTTCCACTGGTTCCCCTGCCTGCACTGAGACACTCGGGGGTCCTGGTGTTGGTGTTTGCCTGCTCTACCACCTGGATTTCAGGATTTCTTCCTGGTATGCTGAGGAGGGGCTTTCCACTAGTGCTGGGACACCTCCCTTTCTGTACTGCTTCCCTTTCCCCAGGGCAAGAGGGGCCTTTCCCATTAATCCTTCAAGCTACCTGGGTTACTGGATTTTCTTCTGGTTCAACTGTTTCGGGGGTTTTTCCTGGGGTGATATTTTCTGGGCTTTCAGAGGTTAATAAGGGAGGGTAAGAGCAACGTACTTCTTACTCCGTCATCTTAGCTCCCAAAAGCAGAAGTTGTAATGATCTTTTAAATGGCCTCCCTACTACCAGTCTCTTGCATCTCTAGTATATCCTTCACAGGATCAAATCCACCTAGGAGTATTATCATTTACCTCTATCTCAGCGGCTTATCAACAAGGATAGAACAATAAATTAAATGTTCAAATGCTTTGTTGAAATCTAGGTAAAGTAGATCTACAATATTCCCCTGATCTTTCAACTAGGAGATGATCTCATTAAAAAAAGAAAAAGTTAATCTGGCACAATTACTTTAGAAATACAGATTTAGGGTTGGAAGGGACCTTAGAGGCCACCTGGGATCATAGATTAGAGATTTATTTAGAGTCAGAATGGACCCGACGAGTCATCGATTCCAGCCCCCCTATTTTGCAGGTGAAGCCACTGAGGCTAAACAGACTGACCTTCTCAAACTCACATAGGTAGCAAGTTGTAGGGCTCTGATTCAAATCGAGGTCTTGAGTCAAAACCAAGGTTTCTTTCTACTATATTACATGGCTAACAAAATTAATTTTTAGGGTAGAGTTATGACCATATCATTCCACTGCTAGAAAGAACAACAATAATAACACACTTCAATGATTTTCTGTTGCTATAGGATAAAGCACTATCTTCTCAGCCTAGCATTTAAGGCCCACTACACAGTCCAACCTACCTTTTCAGCCTGATTATGTTTAACTCACAGAACAAAGATTTTGTAGCTGGAAAAGCCCTAAGAGGCCATGAAGTGCAACCCCTTCATTTTACTGAAGAAAAAACTGACGCAAAGAGAAGTTAAGATAATGATGGTCACAAAGGTATTAAGTGGCCGAGTCAAAATCTGAACCCAGACTGTCTGGCTTACTCAAACTGAAACAAGTCTCTCCCTCCTGAAATTTTGCTGGTGCTTCACCTAGACCTGTTGTTTGCTTCTCTCACAGCCTACCTTATCTTATGCTTGAACAGGTTTTAATTATTATCATATGTCTGGCCCCCCAAACAGTATATCATTCTCTTTTTCATTATCTAATTTTATGGTCACAATAACTCTATGAAATAATTCTCTTTCTCAAGCATTATTATGGCAGCTTACAGGTGAAGAAACTGAGGTCAAAGAAATAAACAATTAGCTCAAGGACATATAGCTAGGAAGTGGTGAGTGGTGGGAATCAAACCCAGGTCTTCTGATGTCTTTTAGTTCTTTCACTCTACTAGTTGCCTACATTTGGTGATTGCTTGGTGAAAGTTCCTAAATTTAAACATGGGAAATCAGAGCCAATACAATAGTGCTTATAGTGTGAAGTATGCTTTTTCTTTTAAGGAAAAAGATCATGCTTTTTAAGCTTTCGTGCAATAAAAGTTTATTGTCTCTTCTAATGTCTAATGTGTGTACCCAGGGCTGTGCAATGTGAATCTAATAATCATGATAATAATAATAATAATACCAAGTTTAACATTTCTTTGTTGGATGAAACAGTGTTTCTTACTTATTTCCATGTTCTTGATGAAATCCAATATCATGCATCTCCCATTTTTTATGCCAATACTCAAGAGTTAGTGTATTGTCTTGCTGTTCCCCAAGAGTGGAGTGATCTTTGGCTTCTGCTATAGCTGTTGAACCATCCATGATTTCTGGGCAGATACCTTCCACAAATCAGGAATTTCTCAAGTCTAAATGAAAGGCATTGACACCACTGTCAGTTAAATGCACTGAAATGTTGTTATCCAATGTTAGCATTGGTAGTAAGAATTTTTTTGCTTTAAATAAACTTTACTGCTATCTTATTTTTACATTGCCTAAATTTCCCTTTATATGCTTTCCTGTCAGAGAGCTACCCCTTCTAGGATTTTTAAAAATAAAGACTAAAGAAAAAAAGGAAGAAGAGATAAAATTCAATAAGATAAATCAACCCCAAAAATCAGACATTATATGTAATGTTCCATACCTATGGAATGCTTGTCCTTTCCCCCACCTCCACCCCACTTTACAAAAGAATCAGGGAATAAGGCATTTTTGATGTCCTAAAAGTGCCAACTGAAAAGTGAGACAACTAAGAATGATACACAAAATTTTTTTTTTACCTAAATATACAGGTTTACTTCACTTTATGCAACAGATATTTTCTATTACTGAGTCATAGAGAATTTGATTTTTTTTAATAAGCAAATATCCTATTTTAAATATTTCAGTCATGTCTGACTCTTCATGATCCCATTTGGGGTTTTCTTGGACAAAGATACTGGAAGGGTTGCCATTTCTTTCTTCAGACTGAGGCAAAGAGGATTAAGTGACTTGCCCCAGGTTCATACAATGGCTAGGGTACTAGGCCTGGAATCAAGGTGACAAAAATTCAAATCTGAATTCGAATCCAACTTCGAACCTGCTGTGTGCTCCTGGACAAGTCATAAAATCTCTGTTTGCCTGTTTCCTCACCTGTAAAATGAGGATAATAATAACACCTACTTCATAGAGCTGTTGGGAGGATCAAATGAGGCTTTGCATACTAAATAAATGCTTATTCCCTCCCTCTCTTTTAAAGCAGTACCATAAAAAAAGTGGTTCATGGGATCGACGAACTATCATAACCAGCTATAAAATGCATATCTACAATAACAGTAACACTTAAATACTGTATTGTTACTGCGCTGTGCAGTAGCGGGCGGGGGGGGGCAGTGTGTGTGTGTGTGGGTTGTACACTTCATATAACATATGCAATTTTTACCTGGTCACTGCAGTACTTACTATTTCTGTCCTCCCATGCCTATTTTTCCTGTTTTTAAGGAATAATAGCTAACTTAAGTAATAGTTTTCTTCGATCAAAGTTTTAAGGTGAAGGTTTAAGCATGGGTCAGGAGATGTGAGGGTTGAAGGTTTCACATTTTTTTTCTCCCTAGGTTACACGAAAACAGGTAGACTAGCAGGAATATCACAAGTCCATGGGTCATTCTTGCCTCTAAAAATCATTAAAGTCCAACACGATTTTGGGTTAATGACAGGGTAGGAGGGGGTGGATGGCATATACCAGATATGATGCATCACAAGTGGCTCTCAGCCGCTCACCTCCCCTAACAACCACAGCTCTTCAGCAGAGGGTGCACAGGTTCCACTCCACTTCTTGCAGAGTGGGACGGTGCCAAGAGCCTTGGGTTTGCAGTCACCTCTCTGGGCCTCAGTTTCCTCATTTGTAAAAACGAGGGCAGGGCGATGCACTCCAAGGTTCTCCCCAGTTTTAAATCAATGCTCACTCCTCCCGTGCCCACGGTTGGGGATGGGGGTGGGGGTGGAAGGGTCACTCACAGTTTCACAGGCTCACACGCACTCCTCCTGCAAGCCTACGCGAGCTGGACACGTGCACTCACCGACCGCACCTCCCAGGTCCCAGTTTGGGCTCTGTGAGCAAACAGGTTCCCCAGCACTCCTGGCACTCGGGGCCCGCCTCTCCGCAGCAGACCCCACCTCTCTTCCCTCCCCCTCTGTCTGGGTCTAAGCTGCGCCGGCGGAAATAGCCGGGGCGGGGCGGCCGGGGCGGAGGCGGGTCCCCAGCCCCTCCCCAGCTCCTCCCCCACCGGGTCACGGCGTGACAGGGGCGGAAGCAGCGGCGCCGCGGCGGCCGGCGGCTGAGCGCAGGCTGCTCTTCGCTCCCTGCGCGGATTGTCCGGTCCCGTGCGCGCGGCGCGCGGCTCCCGGGAGGATTCGGGGGCTCGGCGCCGCGCCCGCCCTCTTGCTGGCGCTCGGAGGTTGGAGGCGCGCGGCTGCGCCGGGGCGGGGGCGGTGGGTGACTTCGGGTGACAGCGCCCGCACAAAGCGGCTCGGCGGGGGTGCAGGCCCCCCTCGTTCCTCTTTCGCAACCTCTCCTACCCAGGAGAATCGGGGTGGGAAGTGGAAAGGTCCGAGAGGGGACGCCAGTGAGGTCCGGAGACTCTAAAGGGGCGTGGGGGTGGCGTAGGGTGTGGTGGGGTGCGGTGCGGGGGTGCGCTCTTCGGCACGGGCTCCAAACCGCGGTTGTGGGGTGAGGACGAATTTGGGAAGAGGGAATCCACTGGCTAGTTGTAGAGTTGCTCTTGCCCCATCTCTTACAGCCCTTGCTTTTTCTTGCAGCTGCTTCTGCTCACTGCGACTCGCCGCACCAGTTCAGTGCAAAGGTGAGAGGCAACCCTATTCTGTTCCTTCTTTCCCTGCCCTAGAGAGAAAGGGAGGGAGAAGGAGAGAGAGGAAGAAAAGCCAGTTTGCCAAGAGGCACTGCTGCTGCTTTTGCTTGCTGTCACGGGGGATGATGAGCTCTTCATGTTTTCATTGCTGCTGTCAGAGCTCTGTCACTCGGGGGTGGTCTGCTGCGGGAGGAGCTTTCCTAGAGCCTTGAGGGATGCAAAAGAAAATAGGAAACGGTGTGTCTGGCTCTGCCTTGGTTAATAAGGTGACCTGCTAGAAACCACTGGTCCTGCAGAAAGGGTAGCCCCCGTGCTTGACACTTTCTTAGGACTTACTTTGGGAGGTTGCTGGGGTAACTCGTCCTAGAGAGAGAGAACTAGAAGGTGGGGGCGGGCAGAGCATGATGGTTGTTACTCAGCTGTCAAGCATAAGAGGAAGGAAGGAGAAGGCCCAGCTGTAGAAAGTTGGTGTTGAGCCATCTGTACTCACAGGTTACACTCCATAGATTATACTGCTTTGTCCAGCTGTCTTGCAAAAGAGTGACGTTAATCACTGGGGAAGAAAGATGCTTGGCATCCTTGAAACTCATCACCATTATCAGAAAATAAGACAAAACACCTTGACAACCGCTGGGAAGTGGTGATATATTTTGTTTGTGAAGTGTATTGCTAGTTATTATGGTGGACAAAAGACAAGAATTGGAGAAACTTTGTGAACTGTTTGGGAGAATTACCATTGTTATTTCCTGTCAGGGAAGGTTGGTAGCTACTGAAGATCCTATTAGTAACAGGAACTGAGACTCATAAGAGCTACCTTTGTTTTTCTTGAGATTTCCTTATTATAGGGAGTAATGAAGTGCAGCACTATACTGCCATGTTTTTAGTGCCCCAGCACATTGTCTTTTTGAGGTGTCACATATGAGTAGTCAGGCCTACAGTTAATTATTTCTCTGATGAACAACTTTTTTTTTTTCTAGTTAACTTCCTCCCAAAACAAGTAGTCTCTGTAGTCTATAACCTGTAAGCACAGATGGCTCCCTTTTGGTTGATATTTTTGTAGATTCTATCCCCTAAGGTCTGCAGCTTTGGAAAGAAAAAAATATCTATCCTCTGGGGGAGGAGAGGAACTCTTCTTTCTTTCTTTTCCCTTCTTTTTCCTGTTTTTTTTTTTAAACATTTGGCAGAACTAAATTTAAACCTAAAATAGGAAAATTCATATTAAATATAAAATATGTTATATTTGAAGGTTTTTTTTAAAAAGGTGTAAGCTCAGTTTCTAAAACTTTGAACTAAATTATTTAAGGATCCCATACATAAATCTGAAATTATGATAGAAGACTCAAGTTGTAGTTTCCTTTAAGCTTTGCATAGAGTATTTGTTTTTTTTCCTCTCCATCATTTAGAATGATAGGGAAATTAAAATAAGCACAAAAAGTAGAAATAGAAAGGGGTTACGGGAAAATTAATATATGCCTCCATATATACACATAAATATTTATACATACATATAGGGGTAAATTGAGAGTGGAAACTGCAAAAGCTGTAACTTGAGTGTGACATTTTTGAAGACAAGCCTGATTTGACCACTGGTTTTCATGACATATTTTCAGAGTGTTTAAACAGGAAAAACAGGAATAGGGATTGGCTATTGCTTGTGCAATTAAAAGTATACTCACAGACACATGAACAAAAATGGCAGTTGAAGAGTCAATTGAAATTTCTTGATGTTTGTGCTTTGTTTTGTGAATGGTTGAATCCTCCCAGGTGGTGATGGTAAAGGTTGGTTGAATTGGGGCCAGTTTCAGTTTCTATTCCTAAGCCCTTTTTCTTGCACAGTATGTTTTTCTTGGTTGTCTGACACACTTTAATTGTGTTTGCTGTTATGTTATGAAGTTCATGATTGTTTCCTATTGAGCTTTTTGGAATTTTGTATTTACATGAAAGACTAATGTTTTTACTGATCTCTAAATCATATTGCATTTTAAAGATGATTTAAGTGGAATCTGGAAATTTCCTTCAGGTTAATAATTATTAAGCAGTTATAATGATTTAACAAAAAGCTCTAATTATGTAACAGATGCTCTGAAACTCATAGGGGGAAACATTCACTTTTAGAGGACTTTAGGCATATTACAAAATATCTATTGAGTATGTAGGTGAAATCTGAAACCTTGAGAGAAGCTGATGATACACAATTAAAAATCTTCCCAGGACTGTTTCCTTAATGGTTTGAGATAACTTTTTAAACTAGTTTAAAAAGCTATTGTTTGTCAAAGAGACCTAATGAAAAGGCAAGTTTGTGGGTCCTTCATATTATAACCAACTTAGGACTTTTTAATAAACTTGAACAGAAAATAGGCTGGATTACAGGGAAAACCAATCTGAGTGGCCAAGACTAATTGACTCAAAAACTGTTTTCCTTAGTTTTGTGGATGGCAAAGTATGTGTGGGGAGTAGGGGGAAAGGGGAGTGGTAGGTTGCTAATAATAGGTTATTCAAGCCATCCCTGATAGTTGGGAAATAATCATTTTTTGGAAGGTCATTAGAGGCAGTTAGATGTAAATCCATTCTACCTTCTTCAAAACAACCCACCAAGCCGGTACAAATTACATTAGTTGTTTACTGTATTTTTTTTTCCTTCCACTTGCACATCTGCCCCATCCTCCCCACTTTATAACCTCACGTCTTTTTCATTTCGGCTTTTGTGTGTTTTTTATACACACAGAAACCCAGAAAAAGACCAGGAAACATCTAACAATACTGACCAGTTAGCTTTTCAATCTTTTGCAATTTATTTCAGTTTTTCTTGCATGTATTGGATTGAATTTTTGTTCAATGTGCCGCATCATGGAGCCTCTTTCAGAGCGTGGAAAAAGTTTCCTGTGAAACAGCATGGTGTCATGGATAAAGCATGGTATTTGTTATCAGAGGATCTGGGTTTAAATCCCAGCTCTGCTACTTAAACTACCTGTGTAATATTGGGCAAGTCACTTAAACTCTTGGAGCTTCAGGTACCTCTTGAAGGTGTTGGATTAGAAGACCTCCAAGGTTTGTTCTAGCTCTAAAAAATTGTATGTCCTACAGAGTAACTGGTCTATCTGCCTTTGGCAGTAACTGAGTCAAAGGTTTTTATAAGAATAGCATTTATATAGTGCTTGAAGTTTGAAAAAGTACATCATTTGATGATTCCCCACCACAGTCTTGTGAGATAGGTGCCATTTATTTTTCCATTTTGCAGGTGGGAAAACAGACTGAGAGAGATTAAGTGATTTGTAAGTGTCCCCTAGCTAGTGTTTTCAGCAGGATTTGGATTCAGGTTTTCCTGACTCCCAAGTCCAGTGCTCTTAGAGGACCATCTAGCCCATACCGCTTCCAAGGCACACCTAATGGAGGTTAATTAAGCAATTCATCTCTATTTTAACGTGCTAAAAGATTGACGTGTAGCATCTGCTGGTGGGTGAGGAAATAAAAGAATAGAGAGTATTCCTGAAAGGGAAAACCAAACCAAACCAAACTCCACATTTGTGGTTTCCTCTGTTGGACTTAACTAACAGACAGTTGGTTTGACTACTCCTCATGAGTTGAATTTACTGTTTATTTGCATATATTATAAATGTATGTGCTATTTTTTTTCTCTGAAGAGCTAACAGGGTATCTAGTCATTAATATTTTAACACTTAACTGTTTGGCAGACTCTGTGATAAGATGTCAACCCTCAGGGTTCGAGCAAAGAAAAAGGCAGCTTCATTTGACCAGTCTTCAGATAGTCTTCCTTTGAGGAGTTCCGGGAGGCAGGTATTGCACAATTATTTCTAGTCTTGTACTCTTTGGGGCTTTAGTAGATAAATGTAGTGAGCACTCTCAAATTCTGCCTCCTTTAGAATTATAGGACTTGTTCTACATTCCTGGAAAGGTAGAGCTGCTCTGAGTGAAGGAAACATTAAGCTGATCCTTAGGGAAAATGTACATGAACTGGGTTTTCTACTCCAAAACTATAACAGTTAAAACAGTGAGCCCACCTCCAAGGAAGTCAGTAAATGATAAAGGAACAACCAACCACTTTCTGTCTGTTCAGAGCAATGATTGGAAGTGCATTATAAAGCCCCAGTGTACAGGTTCTGTTTTTTATTTGCATCAACACTAACTTCAGAAGTGACTTTCAGAAACATTTCTTTCAAATTTGGTCAAACAAGAATATGTATGTAAACTACTTTGCAAACCATTAAGGGTTATCAGTCAGCAGTTATTTCTTAATAATACTTAATTTTTTCCGATTTATTTATTTATTTTTAGTTTTCAACATTTACTTCCACAAGATTTTGAGTTACAAATTTTCTCCCCATCCCTCTCCTTCCCCCACCCCCATGACAGCCTGCATTCTGATTCCCCCTTTACCCAATCTGTTCTCCCTTCTATTAGCACCACCACCCATTATCCTCTTCCCCTTCTAAATACTTAAATTTTTTGAACCATCATTTTACTGATTCCTCTGCAGGTGAAGAAAAAAGTAGCTGAAGTAGCACCAGATGATGATGATGATGCCTCATCTGAGAAGAAGTACAGGAAATGTGAAAAGGCTGGATGTACAGCAACTTGTCCAGTTTGCTTCTCAAGTGCTGCTGAAAGGTTTGCTTAGATAATATGTCTTAGCAAGTCAAAGTGAAAGTGTTGCTTGTGGCAATTGTATCTTCAAAGACCAGTTTTTCAAGGAACTTGTATTTATACATGCATGCATGTGAATGCTGATATATATACACATCTAGCTTCTTTGCACATAGAACATGTCACTTATGGTTCTGACATACTAATACATTTGTATTGGTAGAGATTAGAATTGGAACTGGTGGAGTGAAGGGAAGAATATCTGAGACGTCTCAGTTTTTTAGCTACATTTGACTAACATGCATATATGTGTATAATAGAGGCAGCTAGTTGGCACGATGGATGGAATGTTGGACATAGAGTCAGGAAGACCTGAGTTCAAAACTCCCAGGGTTATGAGAATCAAATGAGAAATTTGTAAAACTCTTTGCAAACATTAAAAACTCTACATAAGTGCTCCCTATTATTATTATGCATATATACACATACATAATAGTGTCTTTAAATATAAAAACATGTTTTTGTCCATGGGAAAATATGGGCATCTCAAGCTATTTTCTCCCTTAGATGGCAGTTGAGACTGCTCAAATTAGGAGAAAAATCTCAATTAAAGGTTTAAGAAAATCATATTAAAACTAAAATAAAAGCAATTAGTGTCCAAAATCGAGTCCTTTTTTTTCAACTTGTGTCTTCTGTTAACTTTTTATTTTTTTAGATCTCTTAAAATATCATTGTCACTTGAGCAGTTTGTGTCTGTCAGATTTCCAATATTGAGGTCAAATTGCACTTGCCAGTTTTTCCCTTGGGCTTTGACTTCTCACGTTAGTCCACTGAATCACAAACATAGAGTGTGAATCTAGAGCAGTGATTTCCAACCTTTTATCATTTTTTTTTTCCATTGGCCCCCCTCAGAGTACTATATTTCTTTTAAAAATAAGGTGAATTGAAGTAAGTTCTACTGGAAGGAATTTGTTGTTGTTGAAAACTTTATAATTTAACTTGAGGTAATTATAGAAACATTCCTGTATTACAAAACAATGGTTGGGAATTACTGACATGATATTTCCTGGAAATAATTATTTTGTATGTGAAATGAGGTAGCATGGGATAAGACATTATAGAGAAATACAGAAAAATCATTACTATGGTGACAGTATGTCAGTCTTTCAATTCCATGTTCCTGTCAGGCTTTGTTTATCATTTGCTTAATCAAAGAATGAGTTGTAGGTGGATTCATTGGAGAATTTTTTTTCACTTCATTTTATGGCTATGCGAATGTTCTTCTTTAGGTGTGCAAAAAATGGCTATACATCTCGATGGTATCACCTATCCTGTGGGGAACATTTTTGCAATGAATGCTTTGACCATTACTACCGGAGGTATGTTTATTGATTGGCCGGGCTCTTAAGTTCCTGGTCCTTAGAAAGATTTATTGGATTTTTCTAAATACTTGTCTTCTAAACCAAAAATTTGAATTATTAGAATTGTAGCACTTGATAGGTCAACTAGTCCGATTCATACATGAAAAGGAATTCCTTCTTTCTGATTCTGTCTCTGCTTGTGTTTGTGTGTACATGGGACTTAAAAATAATTGCTAGGTTACAGAAATTCTTGTCCACTGAGTTAGTTCTGCTCTTTGTGCTGCAAGGGAATATCAGTCACCAGAGAGCACTGTGTGGGTAGCCATCTTTAAAAAAAAAAAAACACCTTGAACTACTTAGAGAGGCTGGTTTGTAGGTCTTTTAATAAAGTACTCTTCTCCCATCCGTTTATTATTTGTCTTGTAGATAGAAGTAGCTTATAAAAGATTAAAAAACCAGGAATGTAAAAATTGAATGTTATTTTTAATCACCTGATTTAAAAAAATTTTTTTTTAGTCACAAAGACGGGTATGAAAAATACGCTGCTTGGAAAAGGATATGGACTAGTAATGGGAAATGTGAGCCTAGTCCCAAAGCTTTTATGGCTGATCAACAGCTTCCATATTGGGTAAGGACTATACTGCTTTATTTGTAGCTTTTAATGCAGTTGAAGTTTTAGAAATGATAGAATGGATCCAAGTTCATCTCTTACATTGCTAGAAAACATTTTCTGACCACTTCTTTCAGACCTCTTTGTTGGGACGTAATTTGATGTTGAATCAGAAATGAACTGGTTGGGTAAAAGTGGATTATCAGGGGTTGCAGTGCCAAGGGTAGAGGGGAGACAACGCTCGGGATTGCTGAAAGGAAGGTGACAACATGAGCAGTTGAGGGTGGAGGCTTTAAGGAGTAGGGAGTAGAAGCAAGTAGGTAAATATTTGCTTACTCACCACTGTTTTTTTTTTTTTTTTTAAACTTCTCGTGTACCCTCTAGGTTCAGTGCACAAAACCTGACTGTGGAAAATGGAGACAGCTTACAAAGGAAATTCAGCTTACGTCACAAATCGCGCAGACATATCGCTGTGGTACCAAACCAAACACCTCAGTTAAGGTGTGTCTTGCTGTGGTTTTCCTTTTGACTCTGTTGATAACCTAGCTTTCTGGGAAAGGCTAGTAATGTATCTCTTGTTTACTGCATTTAGCATATTGATTTTCCTTTATGTTAGGGTTTTAATATTTCTTCCAATACTAGAAGATAGGTAAATGATACACTTTTCAGTATTTTAGAAATAGTCAAAACTAGCCATTCAGAAAATTCATATTTTTTAAAAAGTTAAAGGGTAGTTATACACATGAAGGAATTTAGTGATTACTATAATTCAAACAAATTCTTTGAAATTAAGTTTATTTTTCATGTATAAAGTAAGATCACTGTGATTTCAGAAGCAAAACTTTTCTTCATATATTTCACATACAAAATGTTACTGGAATAGGATCTAAAATTCATATTAAAGTTTCAAAAAGCCTGAGTTTTAAATTACCATATTAACTAAGTACATATTAATAGCTGCAGAGTCATTTTAGTTTGTAGGTCAAGCCCCTGGGTTCTCAGAGCTTTCTGAAAAATCACACCTGGGTTCATTCTGATGGGGGATAACTTTTAAGTTTATAAACTCAGATGAAAGGATTGATCTGTAAACACTGATATGAAAAACGAATGTCAAAGCTAAATGAGTTTAAATTGTGTTTGGATGAAGGGCTTTTACATAGGCAGTGATATATTGGTGTTCTTTTGTAGACGGAGGGCTCAGACCAGTGCTCCCAACCAGAGGATCTAGTAAGTAAACTACCATCTACAGATTCTTTCTTATTTGCCTTCATGGCACCTTTGTTGTTAAGCTCTGTTTGTGAATGACAATGACATTCTTCTGAGTTTTCTTTCCACTTGGCTGCTGATCAAAGTGCCATCTCCCTTTCTTGTGAAGTTTGCTCTGTTATTTCTTTCAAAAACTCCTTCCAGTTTCTTGCCAGATGTCCCAGCTGTGTGAGGATGAGCTCTTGTGCTAAGCTCTACCCTTTTCCTTCATGAGAAAAAAGAGTGAGGGTCATACTGTCTTTTTTTTTTAACCCCTTTGCTTAAGACTCAGAGTACCAATGTTTCCATGTGTTTTGACTTCTGACATCTTCAGTCTTTGGTTCTTTCTCTGCCCACTTGTAACAAGGATTCGGTTTCACTATCTAGCAAATTGCAGCTATATCTGTTCATTTTGGTGAAATCTAACATCTTTACCTGACCATCGGTAGGAATCTCCAAAGTAGATGAACCATACCATAACTCCCACATGCCATACAGCCTGATTGCCTCAATAAAAATTTGAGATTTTTAAAATTTAATTATAAATTTCAGTGATTTTTAAAAAATTATTGTTAATCCCAAACTGTAGTAGGATTTCATTTCTATAACTATTTTTCTATACATGTACCAGATCTAGTTAGGTCAGTGGTTAAACTGGTGATGGTTGGAGGACTAGGAAAAGCAAATGTTTAGCAGAGATATTTTGAAATTCTTTTGTTCAAGAGGTGGCTTTCACCTTTTCTCTCTTGCTAAATCTTTTCCAAAGCAAAACTACTACCTAAATTCTTTGTGAAACTAATAATAGGTATATGATTTAGAATTAGAAATTCCACAAAACTGTTTTCTAAAAAGAGCCTTATAGAATCAGGGGATAGAACTCTAGAAGTTACAAACTAACTTCTTTCAACACCTTAGAATCCATGTCTATGATGTGGCCCTAATGAGACATTTGGTCGTCTTCACTTTTAATCACAATCATGTTCTGTCAAGGTGCAGAACTCTTAAGGATGGGGCTTTATGCTGTTTTAGCCTCCTTTAGCCTTATTCAATTCCTTTGTATTCTCAGGCCACTTTTTAACAAGCTAAATTTCTTGATTAGGTTTTTGATAAACATTTCCTAATGGGCTGGCAGGGACCTGTGATTTCATTTGTATGGATACTTCCCATCATTGTACCCTTTTTAGTAGATGACCTTCCTTTGTTGCTATGCCTGAACAAAAATGCATTGCCTAGTGGTCTGTCCCCTGTTAATTAGCTTCTCCAAATTTGGCTAGGCTGGTTCTTGGATACAGACGCACCTTGGGCACAGAGTCAAAGGCTTTCAAAGAGGACTTGCAGGAACTTAGATTCCGCTGGTTTAGCCCCTGAGCCCTAACCCCTTTTCCTTATACTTGAGGGCTTCAGTTTATATGCCGATATCCCCTTGAAAACCCTTATTTTGCAATTTTTGTTTTTGTTTGTTTGCAAACCTTTGTTTTGCAATTCCTTACTACCTTGATCTGCATTTCCCCCCCCCAGATAACCATAGAAAAGTCGTATATTTGAACTTAACATCTACCCATATGTTCCACCTCCATTATCCATCATTCTGATATTCCTCATCTGACAATAACCTCCTATCATTCAACCACTCCCTAATCGTTATCCTTCTTCACCCTATTCTCCATCCTTAACACCACTTCTAGGCCTTTTGCACTTCCTGCTTTCTTAGACCATCACTTTTGCTCTGGACCCACTTTCTCCTTTAAAAATCTTGACTTTATAGTTAAGCCATTTCAATCTTACATTATTCTGTGCCATTGAGTCTCTTGTTTTCTTGTCCTTTTGCCAATTTTCCCTTTCCAAACACCAACCTTGTATTATGCCTACCATTCTCTTTATTAGTCGATAGAGGAAGTCATACAACCAAATTGACTGGGGCCCCTATTAAGTGATTTCAAATTTGTTACGTAATCTCAATTGGATCCTTACTCCTATGTACAGCAGTCATTTTACTCATCTCTGGCTAACTGTATCCTACTCCACTAAGTGAGTGCTCTAACCTTCTTGTCTCTCATTAAGCCATCCATTACATCCTTCCTACTCCCTTTCAGCAGAGGATCTCACTAAATACCTCAGTGAAAAAATGGAGGCCATGTATCATGAGTCGTGAGTACGCTCTTTTTCCCAGCTTTGTATTTTAAATTACCTCAACATCATCTCCCACTCTGCTTTCTTACAGGGGTTCTTAAGCTGAGGTTCTTGGATAATTTTCAGAAAGTCTGTTAACTTGAATGGAAAAAAAAATCATGTTTGTATATACTAACCTGTACTGAAATTTAGAATTTTCTTTATGAATATAGACAACAGACGTTTGGAGGAGGAGTCCATAGACTTCACCAGATTCTCAAAAGGAGCCCATGGCCCAAGAAAGGTTTTAAAAAACTCTTATTCTGGTCCTTGCAAACACTAGCCATTCTGCTTGTGCTCTTGCTCTCTTCTCTGCCCTTCCCATTGTCTCCTTGAGTTTGCTCTTTTGGTCATCCCCTCTTTCTCCTTAATTTTCAGTGTCTCCTTATTCACTGCTCCTTCTGTCCTGCTCACAAATATACCTACGCTTACCCTGTTCTTTTTTTTGTTGTTGTTGTTGAGGCAGTGGGGGTTAAGTGACTTGCCCAGGGTCACACAGCTAGCTAGTAAGTGTCTGAGGCCAGATTTGAACTCAAGTCCTCCTAACTCCAGGGGTGGTGCTCTATCCACTGTGCCACCTAACTGTCCCCTGTTTACCCTTTTCTTAAGATTTTTACTTACTGCTACTATCTCTGTTATCTCTCTTCCTTTTCACAGCCAAATTAGAAAAAGTTATCTCTATTTCCTCCATTCTGTTGCCTCATCCCTCAACTGAAAAATGCTCTTTAAAGTTAACAGTTATATATTGTCAAATCCAGTGGCCGTTTCTCAGTCCTTATCTTTCCTTAACCCACTGTGGCATTTGTTGGACTTCCTGGATACCCTTTCTTCCCTGGGTTTTCATAACACTACTCTTTTCTAGTTCTGCCCATCTGGCCATTCCTTCTCATTCTCCTTTTCAAGATCATTATCCATTTCCTATTCCCTTTTGGTGAGTGTAGCCCAGATCTCTATAAACGTCCACCTTCTCTCGCTCTCTTTTTTTGACAAGCTCATCAGCTTCCATAGGTTCAACTCTCATCTCTAATCAGATGATTCCTGAGTTTTTATATTAACAGCATCAATCTTTCTCGTGAATTCTAGTCTTGAATCGCTTTGGGACTACACATTGGACATCTTCAACTGAATATCCCATGTAGACAGCTCAAACTTAGCACATCCAAAACAATTTAATATCTTCCCTTCCCCATAAATCCTCTTCTCTCCCTGATTTCTTTGGGTTGATTGTACCACCATTCTTCTATTCACCCATGGTTGTAACCTTGTAGTCAGCCTCATCTCTTCACTCTTCTTTCCTCTTCATGTCCAATCAGTTCCTAAGTTTTCCCCATAACATATCTTCCATCTCTGCTTTCCACTCACATGGCCATAAACTTAGTTTATGCCCTCTTCTCCTCTTGCTGGAGCTGTTATAATAGCCTGCTTATTTGTTTCTCTACCCCAGGTCTCCTTCCACTCCAACCTATCTTCCACACAGTTACCAAAGTGATTTTCATAAAGCACGTGGCTAAACATTTCATTTTCTTCCTCAGGTAACTCCAGTAGATCCACCTTGCCTGTAGGATAGAATACGAACTCCTCTGGCTCTGGCCTTTCAGGCTTATTACACATTTCTCCCTTTCACGTGGTTTATGTTGTAGCCAAACTGGCTACCTTGCTTTTCTTAATGTACCACTTTCCTATCATCCCATCCTTCATATATTTGTATAGGCTATATCCCCCAGGTCTGGGATTTATTCCTTCCTCATCTCTGCAATTCATATCTTTCTTCAAAACTCACCTCAGGTGCCATGTGCTGCAGGAAGTCTGTGATGATTCCTCTTGTTCTTTTCCATAGGAAATTACTTTGCATAGATTTATTTTTTTGTACTTCATTTTCTAGGTATGTATTGTTTCTCCCCTCAGGAGAACATAAGCTTCTTGAAGGCATGGGCTGCTTCATTTTTTGGTCTTGTGTCATGATCACCAAGTACATAGTAGGAGCTTTTAAGAAATGCTTATTGAATTGAAAACCAAGGGTCTCCTCCATGCCATGATGATATATCAGATTAGGACTTAAGTAAAGGGAATTGAAGTATATTAAGGAATGATATAGGTGATACAGACTTACTGGGCAGCTAGGTGGTACAGTAAATAAGAGTGCCTAGGCTGGAGTTAGGAAGACTTATCTTTCTGAGTTCAAATCTGACCTCAGATACTTCCTAGCTGTGGGACCCTGGGCAAGTCACTTAACCCTGTTTGCCATAGTATCCTCATGTGTAAAATGAGCTGGAGTAGGAAATGACAAACCACTCCAGTTTCTCTGCCAAAAAAAACAAAAACCCAAATGAGGTCAAGAAGACTTGCACACGACTGAAAATGACTGAAAAACAACAACATAGACTTATCAAAAGTGACTATGAAAGAACATCTTATTTAATCTTGCCTTTCTAAAACTTTGAGAAGCCTTGGTGGCGGTCTGTTTCAGATTGTCAACTTTGTGACTACTTCTTCCGTTTTATCTTAGAACTACAACAGATAGTTCTTGGGTTTACTCTGACTTGCGTGTATTTGAAGATCAGTATCAAAAAAGGCTTGTTTGTCTGATACAGACTTATTTTTGACAACTTTTTTTTTGCTAGCTACTTTAAGATCCCTAACAAATGACATTTCAGACATAGCAGTTGTGTTTTGACTTTCATAGATGAAATCTGGTATAGAACAGTATTATGTATTCTGAGAACTGGCTAATTTTGTTGTGGTCTGTATTTTTAAAATCTTATTCTGAAGACTATACTGTGGTTGAAGCTTTCCATTAACCTTTGACCAGAAGCATTAAAGATGGATTGGAATGTTGTTTAGCATGTTGTGTCCAGCGCCCAGTATCTAGAGTTCAGTTCTTATCTTAAAATCAAAGTGGATTTTATGTCACGATAAAAGGTTAAAATGTGGGCTTGGTGGAAAAGAAAGTAAACCTTCCTAAATTACCTCAGGGATGGTGTTTCAGTTATACCCTGCATCAGATTACATCAGAATGTAAGCTCGTTTAAGGCAGGGACAGTTTTTTTGTTTATATGACCATCACTTAGACCAATTCCTTATGTATGATATATGCTTAATAAGTGTCTGTTGATTGATTTGACTTTGGCTATAGAAAATAGAAATTTTCTGAAGTCTTTGATCAGGAAGTGTAGTAGAAACTAGCCCAGTAGCTCTGAAATCAGAGGACCAGGTTTCCGATTTCACAAAGTAGGTATTAGTGCCTACTTAATTTTATGATCCTGGGCAGTCATTTAACCTTACAGTGCCTCAGTTTTCTCATTTATAAAATGAGCACGTTTGTACCAGATGGCTCTGAGGTCTCTTTCGGCTCTTGAGCTATCATCCTATGAACTGTGTGGAAGACCTTTGGTTGAAAAACTTAGTCTTTTAAGTATGAGAAGCCATATTTGGTACAAATCCTTTACTTTCAGATTTCAGACCTGTAATATTGCCAGTCTAAGTCGGGAAAATGCAGAATAAGAAAGGAAGGGGAAAGATAATGTGAAATGAAGAAAATGTTTTTAGCCTTATTGAATATATTTGTGTTTTGTGTTTTATTTCTTCTGTCTTCTTGATATTCCTAACTCCTCTTTCCTTTTCCATCTTGTTCTCCTCTCATCTCCACCTTAGAGAGTCGCTGAAGTGTCTAATCACTGGTGGTATTCCATGCTTATCCTTCCTCCCTTTTTGAAAGATAGCGTGGCTGCACCTTTACTATCTGCCTATTATCCTGACTGTGTGGGCATGAGCCCCTCCTGTACCAGCACCAACCGAGACCCCAGTGAAGCCAGCCCCGAGAAGGTGGAGCAGTGCAAGGCTGTTCCAGGTGTCTTTGGTAAGAAGTGTTCACCTAAGCCAGCATTCCCTCCTCCATTTCCTCCCCATTTCTCTTGGAAACAAGAGATTCATGAAAATTTAAAGATTTCCTTTTTAACTGGAACATGCTTGATATGTTGTACCTCACTTTTTGGATTTGGTTATGCATGATTTGACAATCATGTCTGTTGTGAACTTAGTGTAGCTTTCTTATGATGGCCCATCCTAGTTTTTGAGGGGAAAAAAATCCTGAAATGTCTAAGTAGTTTTGGGGACCATATTCTTAGACATTGACACTGGGAGAAGTCTTTTTGGGAAGATTGTTTTCAGATGAAAGAAATTATAAAGGGAAAAAAATTTCTTGTCTTTCTCTTCCTATGTAATTGTTAGCTTCCTTGCTAATGAAACAAATAGATTTTATGTGGCCTCTAAGTTGGTGGTATCAAACAGTCCCCTGTAACACTCCTATATGAAACCTGAACTAGATTAAAATGTAATTAGGAAATATTTAACAAAATAAATAAAAATGCAATAAAACATAGATAATGTAAATTTGTGGTTTTCTAAGTCAGCATGTGGTTTCAGGAATCTGTTTCTGTTTGAGTCTGATACCATTGGTGTAAGGTACCCTAACTTCCTCCTAGAGTGTAATCACAGAGGCCCTTGTTAAAATGTAGGCATAGGAGCCCTGAAGAATTGATAATGACACAGTCTTCCCTCTCCCCAGTAGAGGGGTGGGGAACTACAGATGTGGAATGTACTTTCGGGCTCAGTTAGTTGGCCATTCAGTTTTGATTAAATGTTAGTTTTTGTTAAGTAGGATTCATAATTCATTAGAAATGCAGCTGAAGAAAAAATAACTTTAGTGTAAAAACAAAACAAAAAGCAATACCTTTAAAATAAAATTTAGCCTCCTTCCTTTATGTGTTTAGTGCCTGTGAGAGTTTCAGGGTCAAATCTGAGCACTCAGGCTACCAGAATTATATGCCCAACCATTCCCCATTCCTGCAGTGAAACTTGCATTCTATCAGAGGAGACAACTGTGTACGTGTGTGTGTGTGTATAAAACAGATACAAGGTAATTTAATGGGAAAGAGTACTGGCAGTTGGGGGAATCAGGAAAGGCTTCACATAGAAGGTGGCACTCAAATTGAGTCCTGGATACTACCTGTTGTTAATGAGATGTGAGACTTACTTTTGGTTTGTCTTCTCTTAGTTCCTGGCATGAACCAGTACTTCCAGCCTTTCTACCAGCCCAATGAATGTGGAAAAGCCCTCTGTGTGAGGCCAGATGTGATGGAACTGGATGAGCTCTATGAATTCCCAGAATATTCACGGGACCCCACCATGTATTTGGCTTTGAGAAACCTTATCCTTGCTCTGTGGTATACTAATTGCAAAGTAAGCAAGATTGGCATTGTTGTACAGTACAGTTAGAACACATATACACATGGATATAAGAGTGAGTGTGTGTGTATGTATGTGGGTATATGCACACACATATTCATGGATATATGTATATATGTGTGTGCATGTATATATAAGTATACATAGATATGTATGGATGTGTGCATATATATGAAAGTACATATTACATACATATTTATGCTTATATGTGTGTCCATGTATCCATATATCCATGTAGTGTGGGTTGTGTATGTCTAAGGAAAGTTGATGCTATCTCTACATGGACATTTGGATTCTTTAAGAGGAAAGCTCGACTGGTTGTTGAAAAAGGGAGACATCTACAAGGTGTAAGGTCCTACTTTGCAAGTTGCAGTGGAAATAGGAAACATGGTTCCCTCTCTTCAGGTAGCCCTGGAGGCAGCATTATGTAGTGACGAGGGCACAAGAAAGGGAGATGGGAGCCCAAGAGTCTAATCGTAGCTCTATCTGACCTTGGGTAAGTAGCATGATCTTTTGGGGCATCAGTTTTTAATCTGCAAAACTGAGAAAATCTAATAAGGAGGCTGTGAAACTAAATAGGAAGGATTATAAACTTTTTAAAAGGCTGGAATTCTTGACTTTGTTAGATTTTTCTCTTCCTAAATGTAATCTTGATAAATAAGCACTCCAGTGGTCCTGTTGGAATATTTTTTGACCACTCAAATGACTTCAGAAATTATAAGAATGATAGTTATGTTACAGTTGTTGTACTTAATCTACACTAATTTAGGCTCTTTAAACAACATAGACTTATATGTAATTCTTGTCCAGTATGTGGATGGTCAGAATGAACTATTTATGAACTTATGCAATTTACAGGAAAAGAACTCTTAATGAGCATTAAAGTTTGCTGTACATTAGATCGTTTCATCATTAATGTTCATGCACATGTTTTTATATAGGTGTAATGGAGGTGTTCACGTTCAATTGTATCTTTTTTTTCCATTTTTCATTCTTTAATGAATATCTTCAGGTAATGATTTGACCACCTATTAAAATAACTACTTGATTTTTTCTCCTTGTTTTTGAGCATTTAGATTCAATATATTTGTTCATTGATGTTTTCCTCCCATTTCATTATGAAAGAAATATATCTTGAAAGTGTTCTGAGCTTTTCAGATTGGCTGTGTGTTTTGAATAAGGAGATTCTGCTATATCTGCCTAGTAGCCCATTATAGAAATATCCTGTGATAATGATGATGAGCTAAACACACTGAGGACTTTTAAATGTTTTTTAAAATTTGCTCAACACAATTTTCAAGTGACTATACTTTTTACCTGTCTTACATAACCAGTCCCAAGCCTACTTTGTCACATCTTTCTATGCAGTTAAGGCACTTCTACCCTTCCTCTTGTTCTTGCTTATGATCTGCCATCAGAGGGATTTGGGAGGAGGAGGAGTGATAAAGAAAAAAGTAGAGAGAAATAAGAGAAAGTTGGAGGGAGTTGCCTGGAGGCACTGAGAGATTGTGACTAACTCCAGGTCACGTAGCTAGTATGTACTACAACCAGAAATTGAACCAGATCTTTACTACAAGGTTACTCCCCTAACCCACCATGCCATCCTACCTCTCATTTTTCTCTAGAATTTTGAGGGACCATGTTATCTCCCAAAATGATGAAGTAGGAGGAAGGACAACAGTGTCCAAGTATATTGTCTCCACGTTCTGCTTTTGAAAAATGCTTTTGGATTATCATTGGTGGTTCTGACTGAGCCCTCATTAACAGGGGATCCCAGACCCCACAGATACCTTTCTGCTTCTCAGTCACATGGGCACAAGTTTAAATGCTCCTTCTGCAGATAGGCAGCCAATAATTTCTTTGATGACTTTTTAAAAACTAAATAGTTCAGGGGATCAGGGATGTAATATGCTCTTAGATCCTATACCACTTACAGTGATCATTTTTTTGTTTGGTTTGGTTTTTTTTGGAGGAAAAGAATTATGAGAGTTTGGGAATTTTTTGTGATAAAATACAAGCTCCTGTATCTCTGTTTATTCTTACTGGCTAGCTGATAACTAATGTGTATTCACTACTATGGAATATTTAATTGATTTAACAATTTTATTTTGTTCTGCAACACAGGAAGCACTTACCCCTCAGAAGTGCACTCATCACATTATCGTCCGAGGCCTTGTGCGCATTAGATGTGTTCAGGAAGCGGAGAGGATACTTTATTTTATGACGAGAAAAGGTCTGATCAATACTGGGGTTTTGTCTGTCAGCCGTGACCATCGTCTTCTCCCAAAAGACTACCACAATGTAGGTGACTGCAGTTTATAACAGTACCACCACTGCTAATAGTCACTTAACTGCTCTAAAGCTCAGTTTCTTCATGTGTAAAATGAGGATGATAATGACTATAACAACTGCCTTACTGGGTTGTTTGGAGGATCCAGTGAGAGAATCTTTGTAAAGCACTTTGAAAACCTTAAAATACTATTTAAGTTTGTTATTATAATGCAAATGATGATAAATATTACTAATGTACTACTACTAATAGTAGCATTGATAGGTCACATGGATCTTGGAGAAAAGTTAAGTATATCTGCTACAAAGAACAACATGGAATGAGTAATCCCTTTAGAGAAGAAAATGGCAAGCATCATTTCTCCAAACCCTAAGTGGGAGGGGAGGGGAGGGATTGGTTAATAGAAAAGTTTAAGATAGAGTTTGCAAAAGGAAAATAGATTTATGAGAGATTACAGAAGATGGAGATGAATGAACTGTGTGGCAGTATTTTCAGTCTGTAATTGTACAATTTTTTTGAATTTTTTCTTTTTCTTTTTTTAAAGAAATCAGTTATCATCGTTGGGGCTGGTCCTTCAGGATTAGCAGCTGCTAGGCAGTTGCACAACTTTGGGATTAAGGTAAGGAACTCTTTTACAATGCTAGAAATATCTGGAGGATAAAGTGGCCTTTTGACTGCTTTTTCTGAGGGCATTAGAGGTTTGTTCCCTTCTGTATGGAGAATGTAAATATTCCCAATATTGACAACTGCTTAGTCCCAATAAAGATACACTATGTAAGGTGGATCTAATTATCAAAATAAGATTTATGAGAAATAAAAATTGTCATAATTTTAAAGAAATACTTTGACTTCTAGAGGCATTATGCAATAGTGGTTGGAGTGCTAGGCTTAATTCCAGTTGACCTCTCTGCCTTTTCATTTACTGTTCCTTATGCTTGTAATTTCTTCCTTCCCTTTCACCTGTTTAGTTCCTACCCATCCTTAAAAACCAAAATCAGATACCATCTTCTTAAAGCTGTTACTAGTCTCTGTCTCCTTCCCAGAGTCAGTAACAATGTTTTCCCCTTTAGCCTCACATATCACTTTGGTTTGCAGCTCTTTAATGCACTTCTGACTTATTTTATTTTAACAAGTTATCTCTTCATGTCTATACGTTAGCCACGTTTTAGACTGTAAGGTCCATAAGGGAAAATCTCAGCACACCTAGCAACATGGTAGGTGCATAATAAATGTTTGTTGAAAGGCTGTTGTTGGAAGGAACACTCAACTCTAAGAGAAACAAATACTTAGAATATTCCTTGCCTAAAGATCCTTGACAGATTGAAAGATTTATTTCCCCATATTTTTTTTTCTTGTGAGGTTAAGAGAGAAAAAAAAATTCATAAATATGATTAGGAGACTTTTCCTTGCTTTAACTGAATGCCATTCTTTAAAGTAGGTAGCCGGCATAGAAAGGTCAGTATTGGACTCTGGTGGTTAAAAAAAAAAACAAACTAAAAAAAAATCTCATTGTGAGAATGAATGATTTGGGGAATAGTAACTCCTGGATCTTCAGTTTTCCTAATTTACTCAGACCTGCTTATACTTGAGGAAGACACATCTAGACCCCAGATCTTGGGAGAAAATCTTTTGAAGTCCATGCTGTTCATATTTCCATGGAGTCATGAGTTTAAAGGGGTCTGTATAAAGTAGGTGTGATAGATACCCGAGTGATGTCTGTGCCCATAATTATCAGGGCAGAGGCCATGAGACTAGAAACATGTTTTTGTGGTGAGCAGAGAAGGTGGGGCAACAAGAATTGTCTACTCTCGGGAGAAAATGTCAAGATATGGGCCTGGAGATATCCATCCTAAAAGATTTTTCATTACTTTGCCAAGCTGTGTATCTGGGTATAAGGAAGAAATCTGCTGAAGTAAGAACTCATTCTAGTTTCAAGGACAAGATTTCATAGAGCAAATCTATCTGTTGGGTAGAGATTCTTAACTTTTTTTGTGTAATGGACCACTTTGGCAGTCTAGCGAAGCTTGTGTATCCCTTTCTCAGAATGAGATTTTTTTAAATGAATATAACAAAAATAAACAGGATTACAAAGAAAACTAGTTATAGTGAAATACAGTTAAGTTTTTTTTAAGCAATTTCCTGAATCCTAGGTTAAGAACCCTTACAGAGGAACCAATAAACTTTATAAGCATTTTTAGTGGTGTGAATGGTCCTGAGCAGTTTAGGAACCACTCAAACAAATGATATTGGAATCCTTAAAGGAAAGAGAACCCAGCAAGAAATCCTTGTTGCTAAATAGAAAAGAGGAAACATGGTAGGGAAAAATGTGTGGATGTCAGCTAATCATCACAATGAAAAGCCTAAATCATTTGGATTCCAATACCATAGTCTAGTCACTACTTTTCACCTGGTGGAAGGTTTTGGAGAAATAGTCTGATAAATGTAAATTTGTGAAGGGATGGCAAATGTCAGTCATCCTTATTATATTAGTATGACATAAAACTGTTTAGAAATATTAATATCTTAAGCTGGTTAAACTTTGAAAAAGTTGAAACAGAATGTAAATGGAAACTAAGTTGAGTAAGTTAATATTCCATTGGAAAAATTGTATCTTGAAAAAATAAGCTTTAATAATAGTATATATGAATACAAGGTAGTGTTTTGAGAGGCCCTTGAAATTCATTTCATTTTTCCTCTTGTCACCCTTCATATTATGCCTGGGAATTGAATTAAAAGGGATATCATAGGGGAAAAACCTGAAACAGTGAATAGTTGATTGATTTGTTCCAGGCTTTTTGGTTTTCTCAGAACTAGAAACAGGATTTTTTTTTTTTTTTGCCAGGTGAAACTGCCTTCATTTTCAAGTCCTTTCTTTACCAACAACAGAATGCTGAATGATGAGCAACATAACTGAACTTATTTACTATCAACTGTGGAACCCTGTACAATGAGGGAGGCTGGGGTGGTGGGCTGGGAAGCACAGGGAGAAAAACAGGATGCGTCGGCAATGATAACATCATCATTTTTGCTACCTGAATTGTGTGTCTATGCAGGTGATCGTCCTAGAAGCCAAAGACCGGATTGGTGGAAGAGTCTGGGATGACAAATCCTTTAAAGGAGTCACAGTTGGAAGAGGAGCTCAGATTGTCAATGGCTGTATAAACAACCCTATAGCCCTAATGTGTGAGCAAGTGGGTTTCTCTAAGAGAGCTGTACTATAACTAAGGGAAAGAATAGTATTTCAGGAATCTTGTGTGTATGGCTTTATTTTTCATTACATGCAAGCAAACTATGATTACTGAAATAATTTATTTTTTTCCCTCCTAGTATTTAAAAAAGGAGTAGTTGTGATGCTGTCCTGAGTGGATGAACCTAAAAGAACTTTTCATTTTTGAAGGTCTTTAGTATCTTTGAAAGCTACCCCAAATTTTTTTTGAAGAGCTATAAAGAATATCTCCTTAAATATTTATTAGTCTGTTAACTTTGAACTTCAGTGTATATTTATATATGAGAGGGAGGGGTGAGAGAGAGAAGGTGAGATAATAAGAAAAGGTTAGGGGAGGGAGAGAGAGAGAGGAATGTTAAGGTAGTGAGAGAAAATTGATTTTGCATCAGATAATATTGATTAAACAGCATGGTATAATGACCAGAGCATTGGGCTTGAAGCCAGAAAGATCTAGGTTTGTACCCTACCTTAAGCATTTCCTAGCTGTTTGATCCACAGCAAGACACTATTTAACAAAAAAAAAAAAGACACTTTCAGTTTGTTTCTTTATCTGTGAACTGAGGGGCTAATGACAGCATAAACACAGGCTTGTTAAAAGGATCAAATGGTGGTATGTACATAAAGCACTTTGTAAATCCTAAAGCATGGTATAAATGTGAGCTACTAAAGAGCCATAGGAAGTGTGATGCTGTACTGTGACCCTAATGTTATTTTTTAAATTTTTTTTCATAGAATCATAGACTGCTTGAGCTTAAAGGGACCTCATAGTATCTGATTCAACCTCCTCATTTTACAGATGAAGAAACTGAGAGCTGGAGGGCTTAAATGACTTGCCAATGGTCAACCAATTAGTGATAGAATCAAGACTAGGACCAGTTCTCCTGATTCCAGGCTATATTCTTTCCATTATACAACTGTGCCATATTTCTCTAAGTATTTTCCTCAGCCTGACAATTTTTGACTATTCCTTTTCGTGTTGGGATAGTAGCAGGATGAAAGCAGTTCACAAAATCATATATACAGGAGTTAAGAAGCACTTGGATGCTCTAGATGCTCTTGACTGTGGAAAATAGGAAGTTTCCCCTCTTTTTTTCTGATTGGTGCGTCATGCCTTGGTGTGTAAATGTAACCCTAAGTGTAGAAGGATACACCAGTTGTAACTGTAGTGTTGTGAGGGATGAGAGAGCCTTACTGGAAGCCCTTGGTTAGTTATCTGAGATCTTTGAATGTGACTTTAAAGTATTTTTTACCTTCTCTTTGAGCCATCTCAGTAAATAATGGCATTTAGTTATTGTTTGTTGTGCATGTATGATATTTATAATTCTTAGTTTTATAAGAGAATCAATTAAAACAAGTCTTAACAGAGACTTACCATCTCTAAGTAGAAACTATAGAACTGGGTTCTTCTAATTTGTAACATTGTGTTGGGATGTTAGGAATTTTTTTTTTTTTTTGTGATTTAAGGTGATAATTTTTTTTTCAAGAAAAATGTCCATTTTTTCATTATCATTATTTTGAAGCTTGGCATCCAAATGCACAAACTTGGAGAAAGATGTGACTTGATCCAGGAAAGTGGAAGAATCACTGACCCTACTATTGATAAGCGCATGGACTTCCACTTTAATGCCATTTTGGATGTTGTTTCTGAGTGGAGGAAAGATAAAACTCAACTACAAGATGTTGCTCTAGGAGGTATGAGGGAGATGAGTTTTCTCAATACTTAGTTCTTATAATAGCAGGCTTGAGTCTTTTCTTTGATGATGATGTATAAATGGTATTGGATATTAACTTTTTTTATTCAAGAATTTGAAACTTTTTTGCATATTAACCAGTTCTTTATAAATGACCATATATTTTATATGTTGTTTTTCTGAATGGAATATAAACTCCTTGAGGTCAGGGACTATTTAATTTTTGTCTTTGAATACCCAGTGCAGCATACTATTTGCCATAGAAATCTTATTGAAATGAATTAATTATCTGTTCCTCAACTTTAAAAATACCCAGAAGTTGGCTAATATGGTAGAAAAGGAAGATGATAAATGCTGGAGGTGATGTGGAAAAATAGGTGCACTAATGCACTATTGGTGAAGTTGTGAACTGCCCCAACCATTCTGGAGAACAATTTGGAACTAGGTCCAAAGGGCTATAAAACTGCATACCCTTTCACCCATTTACACCACTACAGTTCTGTCTCCTAAAGAGATCAAATTAAAAGGAAAAGGACTTCTATGTACAAATATATTAATAGCAGCTCTGTTTGTGGTGGCAAAGAATTGGAAAGTGAGGGGATGCCTATCAATTTGGGAATGGCTGAATAAGTTGTGGTATATGATTGTGTTGGAATGCTATTGTGCTATAAGAAATGAGGAAAGGGGATATTTCACAAAAACCTGGGAACACTTAAATAAATTGATGCAAAGTGAAGTAAGCAGAACCAGAATATTATACACGGTAATTGCAATATTGTAAGGATGATCCACTATAAAAGACTTAGCTAATCTAATCAGTATAGTGATCTGCAACAATCCCAGACCCGAAATGAAAAATACTGTCCTCCTCTAGAGAGAGAACTGATGAACTCTGAATGCAGGTTGAAGCATACTTTTTTCTACTTTATTTTTCTTGTTTTACTTTGTGTTTTCTTTTGCAACATGGCTAATATGGAAATATGTTCAGCATCACCTTACATGTATAATTGAAATCAGAGTGCTTGCTTCTCAAGGAGCGGGGAGAGAGGGAGAGAATTTTGAACTCAAAATTTTTAAAAAAAAGATCGTTAAAAAATTTTTTTACATGTAATTGGGAAATATTTAATGAAATAAATAAAAATAATTTTTAAAAAGATTATCTTTCCCTTCTCAGGAAATGAAAACTTGTTACATGTGTACCTTCTAAAGAACACCCTGTTTTTCCCTTTTGTAGAGTGAAATGTGCCTCAGTTCAGTCAGCAATTGGATAATAAAATTTTAAAGTTCTCTTGCCTTTGTATCTCTCGTTACAGAAAAAATCCAGGAAATCTACAAGGCTTTTATTCAGGAATCTGGCATCCAGTTCAGTGAGCTAGAGGAACACGTGCTTCAGTTCCATCTTAGCAACTTGGAATATGCATGTGGCAGCAACCTAAATCAGGTAGGCTTGGGTTTGTAAAAAGTGGGAGTTGGTCAGAATCAGAGGCAGCATGGAATGGTGATCAGAGAGCCTCTGAGTCAGGAACACATAGCTTCAAGTATCTCCTCTAACAAATAACTTCACTTGCTGGTGACACAGGCAACTTCCTAAGACTACACGTTTCAGGATAGTTGCTAATCTGCTTTAATAGAAGTAGTTTACTCATGTGGAACTTCCTACATCAATAAAATCATAGGCCTGGGCCTTCCCCTTCTTACCTCCCCTCCCCCCAACTCAGATCTTCGTTTTTATATAATTGAATCAACATGAACTCAAGATCAAAGTTTTGTTGTTGTTCAGTTGTTTTTAGTCATGACTCTTTGTGACCACATCTGGGATTTTCTTGACAAAGATACTGGACTGGTTTGCCATTTCCTTCTCCAGCTCATTTTATAGATGAGGAACTGAGGCAAACAGGATTAAGTGACTTGCCCAGGGTCACACAGCCCAGTAAGTGTCTAAGGCCAGATTTGAACTTCCTCTAGGCCAGGCACTCTATCCACAGCATAACCTAGCTGCTTCAAGATCAGATAGAAAATAACTACTAGCAAATATATTCATCGAGGTCAGTTTATGGTTCTGCTGTGAAGGAGAACAATTTGTTAGTTTGGGACTGAGACTCTGTAAGGAAATATAAGATGTACTCAGTTAATATGTATTTATGAAATTCAAGCCCTAGAATGAGATGGTGTGGATAAGTTATAATCTGTACCTATGTAACAAAACAGAACTGTAAGAAATCTCTTACTGAGATCCCCCAGTGATTATAATGGAGTTAACAGCCATGAGTTTAAAAAGCAAATGGTTCTAATTTTTAGTACAAATATAAATATGACTATATATATAAAATTACAAATATAATTAATTTTCTTATAGTTTACTTGTTTTAGGACATTCGTCAAAGTTTCTGTGTGTATAGTATATACATATATCTGTATATTCATATAATCATATATGTCTAATATACTTGTATGTTTTAACCTAAACCTGTTATTTCATTGGTTTGAAGAACACTAGGTATTCAGAATTTTTGTATTTACCAGTACTCCTTGGCAGCTTCTTGCTAACCTAAAGTTGCTTCTTGCTTTGAAAGGTTAAGTGATCTGCCATGGTCACTTGGGAAAAAGTGTGTCAAAGGCTGGACTTGAGCTTAGGTCTTTATGAATCTAAGGTTGGCCATCTGTCTACTACATATGTGTGTATGCACACAGATTGTGTGTGTGTATATATACAGATATATACATAGACATATATGTTTATACTCACCTAACATATTACAAAAGTAACTAACATTTCTGTAGCACATTAAAGTTTACAAAGTGCTCTCCTCACAACAAATCTATGAATGTAGATAGTATGGGTTTATTGTGATCCCCGTTTTGTAAGTAGAAATGTAAGTAACTTACTGGGTCATAACTATTGAGTTTAAGAGCTGAGATTTGAATCCAGGTATCTGATGCCAGTGCCAGCAGTATTTTTTCCATTGTACCAAGTTACAACCTTACATTGATCTCTTCTGTACTATCTCTTGCAAATTTACCTTCATTGTCTACTCTGAATTAAAAATATGCAAAGTAATCGATACCTTCCAAAAGAACTAATATATTTGAATGTTGTGCTATTTTGATTTAATTTTCTTTTTAAAAGAAATCATTCATCATTGTTGGGTTTATCCTTATATGTAGAATGTAGTGTAAAATTTTTGGGCAAAGTATTTTAAAGATACCAGGTTTTTAGTTGCACTTGTTGCTGTGACCTAGAATGCAGTGCTAAAATTATCAATTTGAATAGAACATTATTAATCCAATTCTCTATCCTGAATATCAGTTCCATTAATGACTCATGTTGTTTTTATACGGAACAAATTAAAAAAAAAGAGAGAAATAAAATGACTGTCTTCACCTCAAAATGAGAATAATTCAACCTGATACTATGGGTCATTCCACCTACCCCCAAAATTCTTTGACCACACAACTCTTTTTTTTTTTTTTTTTGTAGGCTATACAAAGAGACTTTCACTCATAAGACTGAAGTTAACAGTATGATTAACCTCAGGACAACCCCTGCCCTAATCACGAACTCCATCTGCTTTACTAGTTTTATTTTCTCCTCTTCTGTCCACTTTAAACATTGTGATTGAGATAATCCCACCTTGTAATTTTATACTTGTTTTGACCTTTTCAGAGTTGGATGTAGGGGCAGATATGTGGCACAGTGGATAGGGCGCTGGCTTTGGAGTCAGGAGGACCTGAGTTCAAATCCAGCCTTAGACACTTGACACTTACTAGCTGTGTGACCCTGGGCAAGTCACTTAACCCTGATTGCCTCACCAAAAAAAAAAAAAAGTTAACTAACAGAGTTGGATGTGAACTTGAGCTAAAAACTAGATACATTTTATATTTGAGTCTCACTAGATCCGGATTAGCTCTTAAAATCCTCCATTTACCCAGGAACAAGTTCTATAAGGCTAGGATCAAAATCTGAAAAGACCAAAGCAAATATGGACTTATTTTTATCACAAGATTTAAGTACTCAGATGAAGTGGATGTGTCTCATGACTTGACTACATCTTTTATTTCTTATAAATGTTAGCTTATGCTGATGTGACCTGTGACTTAAAAAATAAAATTTAAAAAAGCAGAGTTTTCAGAATAATATCAAAGATATGAAAATCTTTTATGGGCTTGTAACCTACCCTGTCCACTTTTTTGTTAGTCTACATGGTATCTTGATAGCCCTGTGGTGCTTTGCATCTGTTTCTCCTTATGAATTCCTTTCAGGATTAGCCAGCTGTGTCTACGTTGGCTCACATAGTCCTACTTGTTAATTGCCTCACCTACATTCAACAGGTGTCTGCTCGCTCGTGGGACCACAATGAGTTCTTTGCTCAGTTTGCTGGTGATCACACACTTCTGACTCCAGGGTATTCTGTAATAATTGAGAAGCTGGCTGAAGGATTGGACATTCGACTTAAATTTCCAGTGTGTATTAGCAAAAATGGATCACTTTGGGTTGAATTTAATTTGTTTCCAGGGTGGGTGGAGTTAAGGGTTTGGGAGGCAATAGAAAACTTACTTGTTTTCACAGTGCATGCTTGTGAGTGTTGAGCCCTGTTTGGTGTGTTTTTCCATGAAAGTATTTTGTATATATTCTGTTAGGCTGTGGCTAGTATCATTATCCTTCCTAATTAGGGAGCTGCATCTACTCTGAAGTAATTGGAATTCATTTTTTAAAAAGCCTTGCATATTTCAGGGTCCAGTGATTTGTCTTTGCATAATTGTTTCTTTTGAACAGGTTCGGACCATTGACTATTCTGGGGAAGATGTCCAAGTCACTACCATAGATGGTACAGTTTGGGCAGCACAAAAGGTAACTAATATATCACTTTATTTTCTTTTTCTTGACCACTACAAATGGGTTTATTCAGGGCACATTTTGTGACAGTATACAAGTTAAAATAACATGAAAATGACTATGATGAATAGTTTTTGCAGCCTTACACGTTGATAATTTACTGTTTGGTGAAAGAAAGGAAGGGTGTGAGTTATAATTTTACTAAGCTCATACCAATGTTTCCATATGGGGAAATTACAAAATTACTCATGCTGATGGAATCAGAGGTCCAGAATTCAGATTTAAAATTGTATTCATTCATCTAGTTGTGGTCATTATATGTTACTGGTTTCTTTATGTTTTTTTGTTGTTTTGTTTTGTTTTTAATGAGGCAGTTGGGGTTAAGTGACTTGCCCAGAGTCACACAGCTAGTGAGTATTATGTGTCTGAGGCTGGATTTGAACTCAGGTCCTCCTGACTCCAGGGTCGGTGCTCTATCCACTGCACCACCTAGCTGCCCCTTCTTTATGTTTTCTTAATTGTACATTACTTTGTATGAGTCTTCATGTATTTCTTTAAGCTTTTCATATTCGTTGTTCTTTATGGCACAATAATACTTATTACATCTCATTCATATGCTATAGTTTGCTCAGCTCTTCCCAACTTGTGGGCTTACAATTCATTTCCAACTTTTTGCTGTTACAAGTAGTGCTATTGTGAACATTTTTGTGTGTCTTTTTCTTGCTTAATTACAGATTGCTTTCCAAAGAGGCTGGATCTATGGCCCAGTCCTTAAAGGTGCCTGTTTATGTGGGAGTTATTTTTAATGGCTTTTGTTTTACATTCCAGATAACTGGAGTCTTCAGGACTTTTGGGGGGCTACATTGCATATTTTGATGAAAGCATCAAAAAAAAAACAAAACAAAACAAAAAAACCAAGCTACTATCAGGAATTAGTAGAAAAACATTTCTGGGCTCCATCTGTCCTAGGCTCAGTGCAATGCAGATTTAGTCCAGTTCCTTGCACAGTCTCCAGGACTTGGTGTCATAGTTCAGTTCATGTTAAGAATGATAACCCTGAAGCATGGTAAAATCCTCAGTTATCCAAGAGAGATTCAGCTTGGTTGAAATAGCAAACTGCACATTGTCATGGAAATTCCTATGTCAGTGCCTTTCCATCTGTTCCTGGAATGCACTTCCTCCTCAACTCTGTGTCTTAGAATCCCCTCACTTCCTTCTGGGGTTAGGTCAGATGCTATCTCTTATTAGAATTCTTCACTGTTCTTGCCTTCCTGCTAGAGTTGTTATAAGTATACACGTTAATTTACATGTATTATAGCTGAGTTATTGTCCCTGTTTCCCCCTGCCCCCAAGCCTTGAGAATAGGGACTTTTTTCTTTTGACTTTTTGTCCCCCCATTCCTAGGACAGTGTCTTACCCAGTAAATGTTTGTCCTTTTAAATCAGATGAGGTCTCAGAGGCCAGCTAATCCAATCCACATCCAAGAATACTTGACCTTTGTCCACCCTTGTGTGAAGATCTCTCTCCATTGAGGGGTTGCACTATTTCATAAAGCAGCTTCTTTCACATTTGTATAGCTCTGATTATTAGGAAGTTTTCATTTACATTGATTCTAAATTCGTTTCTCTGTAGCTTCTAGGTCCTATATCTACCACCACTCCTACCTCAGCTTCTCAAAGCCAAGCAGAGTAAGTCATGTGACAGCTTTCCTAGTATATGAAGATGGTGATCATTTCTCCCCTATCCCTCCCTTTACCCTGCCACCTCCAAATTGTCTCTTCAGGCAAAATGTCTCCCTTTCTTCATTCATTTCTCTTCCGGCATGACCTTGGGGCCCTTCATCAATTGCCTGGTGCTCAGAGTGGGCCATAGTACTACAGATGTGGTCTAACCAGGAGAAAATAAATCAGGACACCATGACTTCCCTAATCCTGGATTCTGTACTTTGTTAAAATTAAACCTTAGATCAGATTTTTTTTTTTTAAGCTGAGCTCACAGTCTGCTAAAATCTCCAGATATTTTTCAGATGAACTCCTGCCTAAATATACCTTCTCATCTTGTCCTTGCACAGTTGATTTTTGGAACCCAAGTGTAAGACTCTGCACTTATCCCTATTAATTTTAGTCTTATTTGACCTGGCCTAGCATTCCAGCCCTCCAAGATCTTTCCTGTGGTCTAGCCTGTGGGCAACCTCTCCCAGCTTTGAGACATCTCCAATTGGATAAGTATACCAGCTGTTACACAATGTAAGCTCCTTGAGGTCAGGGACTATTTTAGTTTTGCTTTTTATACCTAACACCTAGCACAGTGCCTGGTGCATAGTAGGTGTTTGATAAGCAATTATTGAATTGAATCTATGCCTTTATCCAGGTTACTAGTAAAAATGTTACAGAGCACAGGGCCAAGCACAAATGGATCCCTGGGGCACTCCTCTTAAGACTCCCTTCCAAGTTAACATTGAATCATTAATAATAACTCTTAACCAGCTCTGAATCCAGCTAACAGTATTGCTGGTTAGGCCATATATTTCTGTCCTTTCCATAAGAATAGCATGAAAGACTGTCAGATGTTTTACTTAAATCTAGGTAAACTCTATGAGAGAAATGATTATTTTTCTCTCATATTAATAGCCAATTATTAAAATTGAGGAGACCCCAGCTTTTTTTTCCCCTTTCCTAGTTCTTTGTCCAGTCTCTCTAGGACGGGGCTGATGGAAGAGAGGCTTAACATTCTCCTTGTTCTGGGTAATTGCGACTTCACCCAGCTAGCTCAAGCTTGGGTGGGGAATATAAATTCTTTGAATAGATTGCCCAAGGCTGGGAGTAACATAGAAGTAAATGATATAATCAAAGTTTATTAGAGTTGATTGCCACCCTCAGGAACACCCCTCTTCCAAGGGCTTATAAGCCATGATTCTGCTGCCATGATTGTCTTCAGCATTCGGGAGTATCAAAGACCTCCTTTTATTAAAATGCTGACATTATTAATAAAATGACTAATTACTCAGAAACTATGTCTCTTGAGCTTTTTAAACATCATATCTATCTCCACTGTGACCCTGACCTATCACTCAAGTATTCTTGTCAAAAGGGAACAGATTAATTTGGCAAGACTTTTTCTTCAAGCAGCTGTACTGGCTCTTTGAGATCGCTGCTTCCTAGTCCTCAAGTTTTGCCAAGAATCTGTCAGTCTTACTGACGTATAGTTTAAAGACTCTATTCCCTTCCCTTCTTTTAAAACATTGGGACAACATTTGTCCTTCTTCAAACTTGTTTTGCCTTTTTCTTTCTCAGAGGCCTTTCATAGGTCAGTGACTGGCTGATGAACAATATCGACCAGTTCTTATAGTGCCTTGAGATGCATTTCATCTGGGCCTGAGGATATAAATTCATTTAGGGGAGCTAAGAATTTGCTTTCTTGTCCTCTTCCTTTTTATTTTGAACTGCCCCTATGATTTTCCTGGTGTAGGGAACTCCCAGTGAAGTACTTTGTCTGTAATTGCCCTCGCTTCTCAGTTCTGCTTAGAATCTGTAGTTTTCTAAGATTCAGCTTAGGTACCATCTTCTTTCTACATGAGGTCTTCTCTGATCCTCACTTCCCCAGCACATTCTACCCCCCTCCCCAATATTTTGTATCTGTTTTGTACATACCTGTATATGTAATTGTTCTTCTTCCCTTATAGAATGTAAGCTCCTTGAGGGCAGGGACTGTTTCATTTTTGTCTTCGTATTTCTGGTGCCTAGCACAATGACTGGAATATAGTAAGTGCTTAATAAATGCCTTTTGATTGGTTGACTAATTCAGCTTTGTATTTTACTGAAGTCTGTAGTTTTAAAGAGCCTTCTGGTGGTACTGAGAATTTAAGTGATTTGTGTGGGTCATATAACCAGTACGGATTAAGGCAGGGCTTAAACCCAGATCTTCTGACTCAGGGTAGCTCTCTATCCACTAAAGCAACACTACCTCTCCTTACTTATCATGGATATTACTAAATTCCTATTTATCAATTCGTATTTGCCATTTTTGTTCTGTTCGTTTTGTCTCCAGCCTAAAGGGCACTCACCTACACAAGTCACTTAATCTCTGTTTGCCTCAGTTTCCTCATCTGTAAAATGTGATATAGTACCTATTAGTACCTACTTCGAAGAGTTGTGAGAATAAAATCAGATAATATTTGTAAAGTGCTCTGTAAACCTTAAAGTGATATATAAATGCTAGTTATTTTTATTGCAGAAGCAAAAAAGTTGTTACTGAGTCTTCTCTCCATCATCCATTATTATCATTCCATATACCCCCAAGCAATTCTGTCCGGTCTTTTATCCTCCCCTGCATCATAGCTTTAAAAAGTGTTGTTTTTTTTTAAATCATGTTTTTATTTCCTTGCCAGCCTTAATTCATTCTGAGCTTCAGCACTACTGATATTTTTGTAGGATCATACCACTTTTTTTTTTTATTATTTATTTCCCATTACCTACTGGTGCTGCCATCTTTTCCACTGGTCTCATTAAAACTTAGGTTGGTTGATGCATTGCCTTCCAGTTGACTGTAAGTTCCTTGAACTGTTTTCATTTTGTCTTTGTATTCTTCATGCCTAGGACAGTGTTTGGGACATAGTAGGAACTTAATAAATGATTTGATTTGATTTGAATTGCACTCCCATGATTTCATGATCTCTCCTGTATACATCCCCTTCACTCCATTCATACTCCTACCTTGGTGCAGGCCTTCATCCCCTTGTGCCTGGACTATTGAGGTAGCCTGCTGGTTGGTCTGCCTGCTTCAAGTCCCCTTGCCAATCTGTCCTCCTCTGAGGTGCCAAAGTTGTTTTACTAAAGTATAAGCTTGATTGTCACACACCCACATCTCCCCCCCACACACACACACACACTCTCACTCTCAGTTTCACTCTGACTCTGACTCTGTCTCTCTGCCTCTCTCTCACTTCTAGGATCAAACATTTGGTATTTAAGACTCATTACAACCTGGCTCCTTCCTGTGTTTCCTGTTTTACACTT